CTTTCTCATTTGTGAAGTAGGGTTGACAATGACTCTTGATGTTTCTTTCTATTGTTTTGTTTTTTTCCACGCAGCCAGGGCTCTTCTCATTTAAGACTTGTTTCTGCTTCTGCTCCCCAGTACTCAAGCTCTCTTGGATGCCAAAGGGGCTGATTTACAGTTAATGGTGCTGTGATACTCCTAGATTGGAAGTTGAAAGGATTTTGTTTGTTTCATGGGTTAAACAAACAAACAAAAAATAAGGTCTCTTTCTTTTTACCTGTTGTTCTTCAGGGAGAACCATCTGACCAAGGACAAATATTCTACACTGCTATGACCTCCAGGCAGTGAATGAGTCACCCGGAATTCCCCATTGCCCATAAATAGTGGGGCACATTTCTCTTACATGGATATGAATCACACGGTTTACAGCAGTTTTTAAAAAAACTAAAAGGTGATGCTTAAGTCATCTGATACATTATTCTTCATATTTCTCAACTGGTACAGAAGAGAGGAAATAAGGGAATTGTATATCATAGGTTCCCCTCTACACCTCCCACATGGGAGACTGTGAAGAATGGATGTCTTTCATGGTGCTCAGTAAAGGGTAGTAGATAGATAGATAGATAGATAGATAGATAGATAGATAGATAGAGATATAGAGAGTTAAAGAAACACAAGTGTATATGTGTGTATGTGCATGTGTATACGGTTACGTTTATATATGTACAGATGTATATATATATATATAATTAGATTATATCACATATCCATTTTAACTGTATTACTTCCTATTGCTATAAATTTTATTACCCTGTAAATATTCGTTATGTAATATTAAAACAACTGGTCAAGATTTACCACAAATGATGTCATAGAGACATCACAAGCGTGAGGCGGAATCAAAAGGGTGCCAATATAGTGTAACTATAAAGATTAATGTGCACATCAGTGCTTCAGTGAGATATCCTCATATTTATAAAACCAAATTTTAGAAAACCAAAATTTATAAAACCAAACATGTCAAGCCACTGAAATGATTTACCTCAGAGAGGCAGAAATGCAATGCAGGCAAGTGGTGGAAATTATTAGTTTTTCCTTACAACATCGGATGATTTTAAATATCTAAAAATTTACAAAATGTATAAAGAAAAAATGCCAATTTTATATGTCCATACATTCATAGACTGACTCATCCTAAGAAATTAGGACTTATATACATTTGTTCTGGATATCAATGAACCTTTCATTGCATATTAGATATAAAATTTGACTCCATGTATTTACTAGTTGACTTGCTCTTAGTACAAATTCTAGTTTATGCCATAACCACATTGGCCTCAGGATCAGTAACACTCCTCACAATGTCATTGCTATGAAAGCTGTTTTGTCCTACTGTATTTTAACATCATAACTATAAAAGTTCTCTGTTTCCTTTGTTTCACTAAAACATAAAATATTATTTCATTACACTTTTGCCATTTTGAAGACATCTCATCTTTTAGTTAGAAAAATATTATCTCTCTGTTCAAAGATTTAAAATCCTTTGCCCATTGTTACTTCAATATTTATGGTTGGTAGCAAAATAAACAACTCCATTGTCTAACCCAGCCTATGCATATAAGGCCCACAGATGAAAGTGTTTTCTGAATATGCTTTAAAGGCACAGGATAGGGCCGGGGAGATGGCTCAATGGAATAAGCGCTTCCCTGGCAAGTGCAAGGACCTGAGTTCAATCCTCGGTTCCGTAAATAAATAAATAAATAAATAAAGGCAAAAGATAGATAACATAATATTATGATATAGATTAACAGATATAATCAGCATATCCTTTTGTTCCTACTGAATAACTTTTATATAGTCTGTGGTTTCACTTTCATACTTGGAAAGGCATAGGAATTATTCCAAATGCTAGCAAGCAATATTTTTTTTTGTTTGTTTTAGGGAGAAGACAAGTAAAATTCAAATGTTAATCCACCTCATTCAAACTATGTAATTCAAATGAAATTGGGTAAAAGATATCTGGAATACATAACAAAATACATGAGTACCAATCATATGTAAAAATTTCATATTTACAGTAACACATGAATGACCCTGCATTTCTGGATAATTGAGCTCATCCCTTCACTGTAAATTCCTCTAAAATACTTTCTCACTGCTCAAGTTTTCCTTCAGTGTGCAGAATTTTAGAGGTTCACGTTCAACACAGGACCTACATGATTTCCATATTAATAAAACAATCTCATCACACACTGAACTTAATGTCAGAGACCCTGTCATTTCAAATTACATCTACTCTTTCCACTCAGGTGCATATTTTTGTACAATTCATCTCATTTTCTTCACCTATTTTCCTCAGATATGATATTCTGGAATCTTTTGCCATTCAACACATCTTTCTTTCTTTTGGTTTTTGCAAGTTTTCTTCTCTGCTTATAAAAATTAGAACTTACATTCCTTTCTTGTAAAATATTGAAATAGCACTAAACATACACGTTATAAGCAATGCCTCCCCAAAGACAATTTTTGAGACATACTTCTGACCAATTTTCCACATTTTGCAATAAAATAAGAAAAAAGAAGAAACTGAAGCTAACAACTGATAATAAATTTTAAAAAATGAGTAACAGATTAATATCTAAGTTAGTGTCAGAAAACATTTGGTATAATTAAAAAAAATTCCTGAGGTTTGAAAAAACAAGAAAATTATGACTAGATCTGAACATCACAGTAGACTAGCAGGCATTTATTAGAAACTAAATAACAATCAGAACGATCTGCATTTCATTATTGTGAACTTGGGGATCTTATCCAAATAAACTATGACTAGCAATAAACTTATGATGGCACATCTTCCAATCAGTAAGTTGTGGTCATTTTTATTCTCTTAGCAGAAAAATTAGACTCAAGGTAATACATTGGGATTGTAATCAATGAGCAAGTAACTAGACATTACATTCAATCCCTGTGCAATTAAAACAGAAGGGGAACATTTGTAGATTGCTCTACTGGTGAGTTTATAGCTAAGTGTGACATCAGGAACCAAGGCCTGGCTATGGAGGTGGTCATGGGTGGTGTGGTTATTCAGAGGACAAGATGCAAACATGATATCTTATCTAAACAACATTAGTACAAACCTTTCTTCTCAATGAGCTAAGAGAAAGTAGCTGTATATCCATCCTATTTTGTATATGTATATATATTTTTTCCACAACAACATGGTACTGCTTCTAATGTCATATCAATTATTGATATATGCTCTCTAAAGTAAATGTTTAAAAAGATAATAAAAGAAAATGAGAGGCAAGGAAAAAAAGCCATAGGATTGTCCTGCTACAATGTTGTACATGGTTCAATTTCTAAATTTCTGTGTAAAAATATGTAGTTGCTTTTTAACATTCTATAGGAATTTAAATTTTACAATATCCATGGTTTTTGGAAAACAGCAGTTCCATTTTGTGTCTGAGGTGTTTGATATTTGGACAGATAATGATGTTAAGCTCAACCGCCTCTGTTACAGGGTAATAATATCATTAAGCTTCTCTTCTGGGTGTTTAACAACTAAAATTTTCAGACCCAAAATTAGAGAGATAGACGGGCCACAGGGATAGCCAGTATTTTGGCCCCAGCCCTCGTAACTTTTAACTTAATAAATGAGTGATGTCTCACGATAGGAATAATATGTGATATGCATCATCACATGATCACAACCGAGCCAATGGCTCTTCTCGCTCCCTTCCCCTCCCTCTCTCTAGAAGTTTGTGGACGGTTATTTCCATTTTCCAGCAGCAAAATAATATGGAAGAAATCTCATCTGTAGAGGAGAGAGGAGAAAAAGGCAGAGGAATCCCTCTCCTCAAATGAGATTTAGGAACAGGATAAAATGCAGAAACAGGATAAATTTTTGCAGAAAACCACCACCTACATAAGACTGGAGCAGTGTGATTGAAGAATCTGTTTAGGGACAATACAGTGTCACATTTCCATGAAATCCTCAAAAGGAGGCCAAAGCAAGTGCCATTTGATAGTCACTTGTTAAAGCTGTGAAGGTAGAGTCAGGTTCCACTGAGCCAGTGAACAGCAAGGATTCCCTTAATATTAATGAAAATCATCCTGCACAGAAATCCTCCTCTCTCAGCTCCCTCACACCAGCTGCAAAGGTTTTCAAAGTAAGAATCTGATTATCGTTTATTTTCTATTTTGTATTTTCTTTATCATTTATGTTGCTATTACCATATTTAAATAATTTCTATCTGAATATTTTTGGGTAGTGGAGCCAGTCATCTGAGTTTCAGCTGTTTCTTCTGCAGAAATTCACTTTTATACACAAGTTTTGGATTATAACATGTTTGCGGAAAAAATTAAGCTCGCAAAGGGAGGTTTGTTGTTTTGTTGGCTCTCTTCCCTTGATTCCTACTTTCAGTTCCTTTTCCAGGCCAGGAACTGTTTCCTGTTGTCATGATGGCCTGCACTGGAACCAGCTGCCTGTGGACTGAAACCTCTGCAAAGTGTAAGCACAAATAAACCTTTCCTGCTTTACACTGTGTGTCCTGTACTACGTCTCAGCCATGAGAAAGTAGCAAGAGACAATGGTGATCAGAAATTCTGTTCATGTAGGCTCTGAGTGCTGTTCGGTAAACAGGTAGACTCGGCAAAGCATTATGATGTGTCTGAGACCACTGTATTCACTGGATCTGGCACTTGTTGCGATCTGGCTCTTCTTCAATATCAAAATGACCACAAAAAGTGGAATTTGTAAACGATTCTGGACATCAAATCAGCTACTGTTTTGATGCAAATAAAAGCACTGGATTTGAAAGATGATTTCCAATACTGCTTCATACAATCGCAAGAATGGTAGGGTAAGTTTGTTCAAAGCAAAGGGAACTATCTCAAGGGATTAATGGCAATGTTTCTTTTCATGTAATAATTTTTCAATTTAAACATTTACTCTAGCTTTAATCACATGCTGTATTTTGAAAGGAACCATGCAAGCTCATCTTCACTCAGAAACTTACCCAGGACTGTGAGCTCTGCAGAGGCACTGATATTCTCATTCTTGTAGGTGACCACACAGGTGTAAGTTCCACTGTCATCATCTGTCACATTGGAGATCAGCAAGTTGCTCCCACCCAACAGTGAATACTTTCTAGACCTGAAAGGCACAGGCATCCATGGACAGTAACTGACGTGCATGTGGATCAGGCCAGGTACTTAAATGTTTAAATGAACTTTTGTGAAAGCTCAAATTATAAAATAACTTTAAGTGCTAAACATTTCCTTATATATAATCTAGACCCATTCTCTCATTTTATTTTTGAAGATGTTAACACTTAATGGTGTGGTTCTCAGAACAGAAGACAACATTCTGACATGCAAGCTGGTGAACCTGTGTCAAGCCCCATTGCATACTGAACCGAGAGCATCTGGATCTACGCAGAGAACACACCAGGAAGAGCTGAGGCTGTAACCAGATTTCTTATTGGCTTCCTGATCTCAGACATGTCTCGATGCCTGATGTGTTCTGATACCTAACATGTACCACTGCTATCTAAGTACATATATAGGGTAGATGAAATTTAAAAATGAATTTATGATCCATTGCCCTGTCTTATAGAAAATGTGTTAAAAGGAGCCTTGCCAGTATCCCAAATCAATGAAATTAATTTCTTTAAGTGAGATCCATTTAATCAAAATGTTTGAGACTAAGTGAACGATTCTGTTAAAGGCTTATATTCTCACTGTATACTATTGTTAATATTCCAGTAATTCAAGGCTGACCACATTCTCCTGTCTTACCTTAAACATATATTGTAGCTGGAATATCAGAGACATAATTGAAGCTGAAAAGAATTGCTCAAAGGCCCTTTGCAAAGGCACAACTACATATTGAACTCAAAAAATGTTAGATTCCTTTTCCCCCTCATATTTGTTAAAATATAATTAACAAAGGAAAATTGTAATCATGGCTTGTAATCTGATGTCTTAGGTATAAAATGTGAAATCAGTGCATGCATATATGGCATGAAGTGAGTACAGCAAGTTAATTAAGCCATATATCTCTGCACATGCTTATCATTTGTCCTGTGTGTGGTGAGATCATTTCAGATCCATCCTCTCAAAACTGCTTCTTAGAATGACGTCGACTAAGGACCCTTGCTGGAGGCTGTGGAGAGGACCGTCTCCATTGCCACCCCAGCTTCCTCACTTTCCTTTCACAGTTGACCCTGTGTATCCAGACTCCTCTTCCATGCCCTCATCCCAGGGTGACATTGTCTTTCCCACACTATATCATGCCATTGAGTGTGGAAGAATCCAATTATGATAAGATACTTAGCATTTCTAGGGAGTTTTACCAAATTAGAGAAAGATAAACTGTTACAGATACCAGAGAAAATGCTAGATGTAGAATACCTGAGTTGGACAACTTCCTCGCCTCGCAGCCAGGTGAAGCTTGGCGGAGGATAGCCAGAAACGCAGCACTCCAGGACGGCATCCCTCCCTTCAATGGCTACCACGTTGGATGGTCTTTGCAGGAAATACAGCTGTCTGTGCAATCCTGGGTCTACAGAGGGAAAACACAAAAAGCACATATTTTGTTAAAATGATTACAAAGATAAATGATATGTCTTCTTAAAAATCTTTCTAAAAATTTTTGTTGTGTGAGAAAACTGGAGGTGATAGAGAAGAAAAAATGTTGGTTGAAGATAACAGTGACACATGAAAATAATGTCCTAAAAGTGTTCTGAACCCCAATATTCTAGGATTACAGTATTAACATATCTTTAATCTGATAAGATATCAGAACATAAGGCAAATGATGCAAGCTGAAAGCTACAGGTTACTCCTTTACCCTCTATTCCTTATTTATTGTTCCACAGTGGAGAAGTGACAACATTATCAGTAATTTCTAAATGTCATTAGAGGCTATTGATATGCTCAGTATGTCTGCCATTAAAATCTATTTTAACTACTTCTGCTTAATTATTACATTTGAGGTTTGAATATAAGGTAAATAAAATATCAGAACTGTATTAAATAACATACATGTACTGAGGATTAGAACATAAAGGTTTGAGAAAATACCTTTCTTTAACAAGAAAATTACATTATATAGCTAAAGGTTTCTGTTTGTTTTATAACAAGTCCAGCTTTGCCTTGGTCTTTTTAATTTTGAACAATATATCACAGAATGAATTTGTCATGAAGTTGCAACCCTGGGCGAATGAAGTTCACTGTATCTTCTGCTTCATCTCATACATTTACTTTTTCTATATATGCAGAATTATTCAGGTTTACGTAACCTAGGAATTCATGTTATTCAAACATAGATCTCATTTGGTTCAAAGTCAGTAAGAATAATAAACTGAATAACCAAAGGGGAGGGTGATGAGCACCAGGTTAAAAACTCAAGAAAGCTTTCTCAGAATAAAGATCTTTGCCTGCTTTGACAGATTGCAGCAGCCAGGGTTGGGTGCTAGGCTTGTGTGCTGGCCCCACCCTCGGAGGCATGCTGAGGCCATGATTGAGATTGGGCATGGTAGTGTGCCTGTAGTCCCAGCACTTGGGAGGCTGAACACAGGGCGATCACTACAAGTAGATCTACGTAGTGAGACCCTGTAGACCCTGTACTAAACACATTAAAAAAAAAAAAGAATAAAGATCTTTCCATTTCTCTACTGTATGGCCTGTACACAATCCTAGAGAGACATCATTCTTATGCTTAGGTGGGCTCAGAGGAGATTGCCCCACCTGCAACACCCTTTTGCTGACTGCTTAACAAATTTTGATCAATGAAAGTTGATTTATTTAAAAAAAAAAGATGCTGTATTCCCAAAGCCCCATTAAAATCCAAAACCTTGTGGGCAGTTATAACTGAAAAATGTGCATGTGCATGTGTGTGTGTTATTGATCATTATAC